ATATTGATAAATGTAGACTATATAAACGAGCGGTGTTATATAAATTTATAGCTAAAATAAGTTTTCCTTCTCAATAATACTTCAATAAAGTTTCTAACTATTTTCCTACATTTCGTACTATGATTTTTACGTATATTTCTAAATCTGAAGATCTTGTGGAGCTCGATAGGAGCCCGAAACGCTCAGAAAGAGTTTAAATGTAATCGTCGCGTCGAGAGAGATCATCGACCGATTGTTTTTCACGTTTCACACACAGATCCTCCAAAGATTTCGAAGCGTCCATCTAAGTAATTACTGCAGCTTTAGGAGCGTCGTCAGAGTTGGGGTCAGCCCATGGTGATTAAACGTGAGATAAGATACAACCGCTCCACCTCCACCGCACACATGCGATATGCGGTTCTTTCTTTCGTGTTAAACCGAGTCCCTTAATTGAAGTAGCAGCCCTTTTGAATATTCCTAACGACGTGCTACATGAAACGTTATAGCGTAGCGGTCAACGCGCGATGATCCCCGAGCACGCATCAAGATCCTTGATATATGTGGTTACAAAGTTCAACATTTCGCCATAATGTTTTTACTCCTCTTCTTCACGTACTGATATTGTTTTAAAATTTTTTCTTTGAAAATTGCTTTCTTTGTTATCTCTCATATCAGATATGTTCAATTTATAAAATTGTAATACATGATACACATGATACAGCCTTTACAAAATGTCAAAAAAAAAAGAGAACGCATATGACGAGAGACAAAAGAGAGCGCGGAAGAGAGGGAACTGGGGACGGTCTGCGTAATATTTCCTCGGCATTGAAATTAATTCACGAAAAGAGACTGGCGTATACGCAAATGCGCGGCCTTTCTCCGCGCTAATAGACTCGTCTGCTCTCTTGCGCTTTCACTTTCTAAAGCACAACGTTGACCCCGGTGTTCTGGGGATAATCGACTGAAAATAACCCCAAGAGACGGGCACCGGGGACCCCCCTGGGTCCCTGATAGACTCGTTCTTCAATACAGCTTGGTGCATCTGTTCCTTTTGAAGAGGACGAATGACTTCGACAATTAGAGGAGCAGCAGCAGCAGCAGTAGCAATATTAGAAATCCTATCGAAAGACCGCGCGCGTCGCTCGACCTGCGTCTTATTTCTCGCTTAAAATGATTGGGATGGTCGAGATTACGCGATCGTACGTCTGCGGGAATATTATCTGAAGATGTAATAGAGGCTACAGTATATCGATTAACCCTGAGGAATCCGAATGAATTTAAGCATGCGACGCGAACAAATAAAACAAATTCGAATAAAGTAGACGCGATTAAACAATACCTTTTTAAAGAAATTAAAAATTATATTCAACTCTACTTATTTCTAAAGAAAAAATTAATCATTTATTTAAAGTGAAATAAATACTACATTTTTTTCCAAATTAATAAAAGTTAATAAACAAAAAACGACGAAATGAATTTAGACAATATTACGCGATTAAAGACTACTATTAAAGAAATTAAATTAATAATCTATTCAAAGTGGAGGAAAATTACATTTTTTTAAGTCTAATTAATAAAAGTTTTGAAATGAAAAACGGCGAAATGTGTTGGACAATATCGCAACCAAGATCCTATTTGATCCCCGCCATTGTAGCGGTCGAGGATTAACGTTAGTGCGCAGTCAGACATAATTGGCCTCTGCTCATAGAATTTCCTACAATTAAAGCATTTGCATAACGCGATGGCGTGTCGGGAATATCTTTTCATCAAACTGATGAGCAACCAGCGGTGGCTGTGTATTATATACACGAGGTGATAGATTGTCGGGGACGGACACGCTAAGGGGTTTGTGTTCGTTTAATACTCATCCCTAACTATTCAATACCAGCACGTTGCGGGAGTGTAACTGCTTGTTTGTATTCAAATCAAGGGCCGGCAAATGCTTTTTTTGTCTTCTTATCTTTTCAAACCACTCAATGGCAAGCCTTAAATGGGCTGAGTACAACAGAAAAAATAAGTAAAAAAAGTTCTCTTCATAAAATATATTATTGTAGCTTGCGCAAATGTCTCTACTTTACGTTTCCAATTTTCTTTTACGTTAAGTAAATTATAAAAATAAATATTGTTAAATACGTTTAAATACGTCGAACGCGTAGAACAATCGAAACAAATCGGGAGAAAAACATAACGGGCGTTTTTATCGCCGCGCATTACGCAAGGGTTGCGCTCGACTAAAAGATCTCCGTACAAAATCGGAAAGCTCCGGCTTTAAATTCGACCTGACTGCAGGCAGCATCGTGATTACCACAGCGCAGCTCGCGCGATCGGCGCGGTTCGCGGTTGAACGAGAGTGCTAAACGACACCAATAAGGAAGTAATAGCAATACGCGGGGAGGCAGAATCGTGGCTCTCGACGGACCGGCGAGAGAAGGGGCGGCTTCCGCGCGCAATTACGGATTTTGAGTGACAGATGCTCGCCCAGTCGGCAGTCGGAAGATTAAAACAAGTAATCAAAGTCCCGGTAGCCACCCCGGGATGGATATGGATGGATGCACGCCTCCGGCCCCTCTGCCCACCCCGCGCTCCACCCTTCTGTCACCCTTCCGTGCATTCCCCCTCTGATCCCGCTACCCGTTTTTCCTCCCCTTTCGTCGTGTCTCCTCGCCACGAACCCCCGTACCCCGTACGAGTTCCGCTCCTCCTTTACTCATCTTACTCCCTCCTGGAAGTAGCAAACCACCAAGGGTAAGCCCCGCTACTATAATATCCACCTATAGCCGTCATCAAGGCGCGCCCTGAATGCTCCTTTAAGAAAATGTTCCTTTCGCGAGCAGTCGCGTAGGAAGGTTATTAGGCGTCTTGAAGAGGCCGGGCGAGAGCGGGAAGCGGGGGACGGGGGAAGGAGAACTTGGAATGAGTTATATTCAAACGACGCAGATTCTCTATCATGCTTAAAATGCTAAAGACGTGCCCAACGTGTTGGCAATAGGGATTCTTTGGAGGCAAAAGAAATCGACGAGAACGACAATCGTTATTATCAATAACAATATTAGCGTAAATATACTTAAATAATCTGAATTGAGAGCACGAACACACTTTGCTTTTCCTAAAAGTTTTCTTATTACGAATGTTAGTGTTTAGTAATTTTACTGTGAGATCTTCTTTAAGATCTTAAGTGTGGATCAATTCTAATCTAATGGATTTTAATCTAACGGATTTAGCCATCGTTGCAAATGCAACATAATCTTTGGTAAAAATAAAAATTTGTATAGCGCTCACTAAAATATATCGTTTAAGGTACCGTCGCTAGCGCAATTAAGACCCGAAACCTTACTGTTACGCGCTCGATTGTCCCACAATGGAAGGACTATAAACCGAGGGCAGTGGACAAGAAATCCCTCGATTAGACTTGGCAATACAATGCCGATATAATCTGATCACTTAATCGGCAAAATATAATAGTGAATTGAACGATTACGCTTGCAATCTTGTACCGTGTGGCTACCGGAATACAAAGAGAGTTATTTCAGTGAAACTGAAGATAATATTATCCATTTGAAATAATATACTTTCGAAATAAACACTAATGAAATCGTAAAGCAAGCGCTTCCCACCAATGTTTCGCAAATTTTGCTTTATACAGCGCAAATTATGTAATACAAAGACACATATTGTACACAATATAAATTATATCAGTTTACTCTTTATCATTCAACATTTCTACCAAAACCTGATTGCCCGCATGAGAATACTCTCCAAAAATAATACAAACAAATGAATGTGAGAAGTCCCATTTTCATCGATATACTCTTCCTTCCATTTTAGTTATATTTTGTTAAACGATAACTAGGCCGCGCCGATGCGACATACGACTTGTTGACTCACGACGGTGCCGTGAGACGTGAATGTGATTAGTCTTGAGATTCTCATGCGCGCGCGGGGGTGACGAACCGGGATTGGATTTGGCGTGGGGATGACGCGTAGGGAGGAACGAAGGATGAGCCGTTTATCTCAGGCGTCGCTTTTCGGTTTTTCTCCCTCTCGCGATCTTTCGGCACTCTCGCGACGCGTCCCAGGCTCATCGCTTTCCCGAGAACCACGGCTTTCATCTCATCTCATCTCATCTCATCTCTCTCTCTCTCTCTCTCTCTCTCTCTCTCTCTCTCTGTGTCTCTCTCTCTGCTTACTTCATCCTCCTTCCTCAAGGGCGTTCCCCGAGACTTCATAGCCCCGACGCGGGTATATCCTCTCTCTTCGCGAAATAATAAGCTCACTCTACTAAATTTATCATGAGCAGCCTTTAGAAGCAGCAGCCTCCGCCAACAACGTGCGCCAGCTTATACCTACCTGATATTGTAACGGCTTTTAATTCCGTCATCTACCTTACGTTGCACGCATTCTAATTATCTTATGGCATCCGCACAAAAACACACACACACACATTCACATCCTGCTCTCCCCTTTTCTCTTTCTCCCTCCTCTCTCATATTTTGAAGTAATTTTAGCAACCAATTTTAATTGCTCAAATACTGCGTTATCGCATTTTGGCGTGAATTGAATAATCGCTAAAAGAATTTACTAATTGCCTTGAACATTTTCTATTGTATACAAAAGTTGAATTAAAATAAAAATACCTCCTACTAATTTTAAATTATACGTAGAGTTATCTATATTATATTCGTTATATATATTCGTACAGTTCTCTGAATAAAAAAATTATTAATGTACGTCAATCTGCGTAAAGCGTAAAATATATATTTATATCCCGCGTATTTTTTTATTAACTGCGATGAAAAACGGAAAAAAAATCCAAGAAATGCAAAATATTCCACGAGTTATTTTCCATTCAGAAAAATAAGCAAATTAACCAATACACCTTTCTCCTCTGTAAATTATCTGTATCGGTCAAGCAGGCATGCACACACATTTTTTTTACACTCTTAAGATTTTACGTAAAATCACATAAGTGTGATATACGTATAAAAACGTAAATATTATGTTGTTTTAAAATAAAAGATATATACTTTTCCCTTTTTTATTTATTTTATATAATCAATTATCGATCTTATTATATTAGAATTATATTATACTACATTGTGACGTAGTTATTTTTAGCTATATTACATTATAATCTATTAAGCTGTATATATCCCTTGAAAAAAAGCCCTAAATGCATGCTTAATTAACCGATTCAAAATATTGTTTGCTATCTTTCGGATTTGGTTTGATAGTTTTGGAATTTGGCTGCCAGTTTGCAGGACATACCTCACCATGCTTCTCGACAAACTGGAAAGCCTTGATCAATCTCAATGTCTCTTCGACGCTTCTGCCAACCGGGAGATCGTTGACGCAAAACTGTCGAAGAACTCCCTTTGTGTCTATGATGAAAAGACCTCTGAGAGCAATTCCCGCATCTTGCAACAAAACGTTGTACTTGTTCGCTATGGCCTTGTTGAAATCACTCAAAAGGGGATAGCCCAAATCTCCTCCAAGGCCACCTTGCTTCCTCGGGGTGTTAATCCATGCCAAGTGGCTAAAGTGCGAATCTGTCGACACTCCGATCACTTGTGTATTCAGAGCTTCGAACTCTGAGATCTGTTCACTAAATGCGATTATCTCCGTCGGGCAGACAAACGTACTGCAAAGGAAAAATATATATTTATAATTATTTATAATTATAAAAATTGAATATTGTAGTTACATTAGGTGTACATAAATGATAATCGACACAAAATTACGTACAAATCTAACGGGTAGAAAAACAGAACGACGTATTTCCCTTTATAATCGCTCAACTTGATTTGCTTGAAGTCACCTTTAACGACCGCGGTACCGGAGAAATCCGGAGCGGGTTTCTGAATTTGCGGCCCATCGTTGAACAATTTTGAGCTCACTGTGAAATTACGGACACCTCTCGCCAGCGATGTGTTGTCAGTTCTCGCCAGCGAACTGGTTGCAGTGGCAATCTGCAAACATGCTCAGATTGATGAGACGATGATCGTACGTCTGTTTGTACCGAGATGTTAATACAATCCAGAATTAATCATATTTGCATGCAATGAGTCGGCAAAATATTCGAGCTTAACCGAAACGTATGACAGGATACACAACTATAAGTCATTAGCGCTTACCAGCGTTCCACCTCGTGCGCGCAGCGAAGTGAGTAATCGAAACATTTTTTTAAAAACAGATAACAGACTTTAAATTCGCTTTACAATTATTTGCAAAACTCGCAGAATCGTAGAACTGAGGATTAGAGATACGCAAGAAATTTCGCCAACCTCTCTCACCCCGACACGCGAACTCCGCAAGCGGCAGATCCGGAATGAAAGGTTATGTTAGGAAACACTTTGAGATGATGTAAGTGCAAACCGTGTGTCGTATGTGTGTATAGGTATGTGTAACGTAAAAACTAAAGACAAATTCTACAAATAGTGCGCAAAATAAGTATTACAATAAATTTTGAAATAACAAATACAACACAATGTAATCTCGTAGAAATAATTATGAAATTAAAAAAAAAGCTTGATAGCGCTCAAAGCAAATAAAATAATTATAGTACTTTGCATCGATTTGAATAAACTATAATTATCTCTGATCAAATCCTTAAAATGAAAATTATTTTAATTTTTAAATTATCATATGTGTAAAATTGTTAAAAGTCAAAAAGTGATAACATGACAGTAAAATACAATAGTAAATTGCAAAAAATGTTTATAAGCAACACACACAAATGTAATCATATGTTTATTCAAGTAACAATATTATAGAAGTCTTATGTTCAATCTTATTAAAATATATATATATATATTTGTTTTCATATACTGTAGATGATATTTAGATTTCAATATAATAGTACTATTAAACAAACATTTGACTATTCACACATTGTGTATTATTCCTATCAAATTATATATAATTTCAAAATAATACGTACTCTTATAATCATATACATTACTTATATGTATAAATGTGTATTAAGAGAAAACTTTATTAAACAATGATACTAGGAAAGCAGATAAATGATAAGATTAAATTTTCATTAACTAAAAAAATCTCAAATATAAAAATTATCAAGGCTTATAGATTATAACTGATGCGAGAAAACGAAGAAGCCAGTTATTCAGAAATGAAAATTCGACATTTGAAAGTCATTATTTAACGATTCTTATTAGATTTTATATGAAACGTGAATCGAATTATTGTTAATTTAGTAACATCTTTATCAATTCACAAGAAAACGTATAATCACAATGTTATTCTCTAATAACGACAAAACGATATTTCATATACATGTGGATCCTATATTATAGCAATTTGAACAAATTTTTTCAATTGGAAGCCGTGGCGGTCGCGTTCTGCACGGGAGTAGACGTTGATGTAGATTCCTCCGTCACGATACGCCGATTTTTCTTTATCCTCTTCCATTCACCATTCGTGTAATTCATTTGGAAATGAGTTTCGACCAACATCGGAACGGTTGTTCCGTCCGACTGTGTTACCTCTTCTATATTTTCCGAGAGCATCACTGTGACTATATTGCCCAATTTTGGACAAGGATTATCTGCAAACGAAACAAACGATAGTATTGAAAAATAATTTATAATAGAAAAAGATACACACGTGAAAAATATATATACCTCTAGAACCAGCCATAAAACCTAAGATAAGGGCCTTCTCGGGTCGCGTTACTTTATTTGCAGTTCTAAACATTTCTTGCGCTTCCAACATTTGTTCTCGCTGTAATCCGACAACAATAAACAGTGAGAATTCTATAATATTTACAGCAAATCATACTCAATTAAATTAAATTAAACTTACCGTAAGAGATAGGCCTTTTCTTGGATTAGCTGCCGCATTAGGTTGCGCTGTCTGTATGCGAATCTGCGTGACTGTCTGAGCCGGTTTGACTGTTTGCACGGCGACCGGCATGGTTTCCACAGGTGTTATCACGGTCGGTGCAGCCACTGCTAGTACAGTAGCAGGCGTTGTGGTGGTGGTGGTGGTGGTGGTAGTAGTTAACGTAGTAGCTGTGTAACAACAAAATACTTAATCAAAATCCGAACGAAACAACACGATCATTAGGTATCTAGGCAGCCGGTCTTACGTGTTTGCTGTGTGGTCGTAACCGAAATACTGCTTGGCGTGCTAGGTGCGGTATAGGATTGCGCTGTAACTGCTACAGCTGGTGCGACGGGCGTAGCAGGAGGATTTATCGAGGCCAACCCTTGCGCGTACTCCGGAGTCGTCGGGGTTTCCGCGACCGGTGAAGTCGCTGAAGCCGCCGCTGCCGCAGCGGCCGCTTGTGCTTCCGCAACTTTTTTCTGCTGCTCCTCCATCTCCAACATCTTTCTCCTTTTCTTCGCTTGTGCGTATCCAAGAGGCTGTTCGTTAATATCAAGCAATTTAATACCGCCATCCTTTCGAATTCTACTGCTGACCGACGTTCTATTGGACATAGGAGTGTTTGTGAGCGACGGCGACCGAAAACCGCTCGTTGGAACTCTGCTTGGAATTCCCTTCAAAGGTGCTGAAAAGTTTCAAGTATATGCAATGCAGTATATCGCAAGAATAACACGAAGAACTATCGTAATAAGTACATTTACAAATTTATACTCACTTGTATCAGTCATTTTCCTCGGCATTCCTCTGCTCCTCACTGGTACAGTGGGAGCTGTGCTCTTCTTCAGATTACTAGCGGCGTCGGTACTTTTTTGAAGTAATTCTGCTCTCAAAGCTACACTTTTTGGTTTCCTCTTGAGAGTGAAATGTTTGACTTGCGTGGGTTGCTGACCTACCACCGACGCCAATGCATTCTTATTGAGATAATGACACTCTAAGGGAAGCATAGCAGGATCATTCTGTTTTTTCAGAATTTTCTTCAAATCATTGACTAAGTCGCCGAAAATTGGCCTATGCTCATCCAGATCAGCGATGTCCGTATTTAAAGAACCAGTCGATGGGAAAGTTTTCATCGCTTCGGATAGCATTGATACCCACAACTCGCTGTCCACAGCTGCAACCTCAATGATTTCCTCGAGTTCCACACGCCACTGTCAACAAGTTCAAATGATGAAATTATAGTAAAATAAGAACTAATGTAAAACAAATGAAAGAAATTCTCGCCTGTTACAAGATTTTTTCGCAAGGTGTTCAGAAAAGTCTAATTGTGATATAAATCTCATAGACATTATAATTTTTTCAACTTAACAAATGGAACAATCGTAGAGTGTTTGTAAATATTAATCCTACGTAGTTCTTATACTAAGCATTTCAAAAACATAGTTGAAGAAAAATCAAATGGATGGCGCATAAATAGGCAAATGCCTATGAAAAATGTAAATTTATTATTAATTTCACTCTCGCAGAGAGCGATTATATTTCGGGGGGGAAGGGGACAATACTCGTTGAAGATTCGAGGATATCAGGATAAACGTGAATGCTTACCTCTTCAACATTGCGTCTGGGTATGTGGAAGAACGATAGGAGTAGCTTGAGCTTGACCTGCGTCTGCAGATCGGGAAAACAATCCTTGATGTTCCGTAATACCTCGGCATTGAGTTGCGAGCAAATCGAGCTGCCGGTCCAGCTATCGTTCGACGTACCGAGCTTGTTATGCAGCCACAACGACGTATCACTGTCCCTCACGTTCGCCATATTGGAGTCGTTTGCTTCCGCCGCGTGCCGTACCTCACCGTAGTGCGCCACGTGCGGTTCCCGCCACGAAGCACGTGCGCGCGCATTTTACACGTTCAATCTTTAGGCCCGTTCTACAATACATAGATATCGTAGGTCGGATCGTAAGTTCCACAAATGTAAAATTAACTTTAACCTCGGTTTAACTTACTGTTAATCTCTTTCCAGTTACAATTTAGTCTTCCTAAAATAACATTTTATAAATATTCGAATTAAATTAATTGAGTAGTTCAGTAGTAAGCTAGAGATGGACAAACAAATGAATAGAACCAATCACAATGTGACATTCCTATCACATTAGGGTGCGTTCCGTGTATAGCGATCAGTGCACACAAGTGCACATGTTACAAACTTTCAGCACTGACAGACGACAGTGAATATGCGAAATGAAACGCAGCCATTCTTGGAAGTCTATAGGATGCGTGACGTGAATTATATATTTTCAATATAGTGTATTTCGAAACGTATATATGCACACTATCGTTCTCGACGGATCGACCAACGAAACAAAGCAAAACAAAGCACGTTCAGTGTCCAGTCCTACCGCCTACGTGACCATACGTGACCTACGTTTAATAGCCGGTAGTAGCTAGTAGCCGGTGTCGATTGTATGTCGTGTTGATTTTATCAGATACGCGGTTTTATGCTGTTCATCTCGATTTACACGGTTTACGTATCGTTTTTCACTGAAAATTGCAAACATGTTGGGTGCGACCACGACCAATGTCGTTTCTGACTCGCAGGAATCTGCAATAATAGACGAGGAAATATATAAGGACATAGAGGCCACGTTGTAAGTAATTTTTACTTAATCCTGTCGCTCGCATATTCACGATTCTGTATCACGAATGTATTCTTTCACACAATGAAAGAATCTCAATTTTATCTAAATTTTTTATTCATTTGTTTTCTCAAAGTGGAGGACAGCTTCCTATGCCCGATATAAATGAAGATTTTGAAGAAAAATATAATATTAACCAGTCCAGTGCCGCAGGTGTACCTATGGAAAAAAAGTTGAAGATACAAATCGACGATTATCAATACGACATATATGAAACCCAATGTAGTGATGATCAATTACATTTCCAGTACACATTTGGAGACGGTGGTGGACAGGATTGGGTGGTAAGCAAACACATACATACTCTTCCTGTATGATTCAAAATGTGCATTAAGTCGATTTATAACATAGTGTTATGTAGAGAAATTGAAATATCTTTTAAACTGCACTTGGGTCTTTTTATTTTATGAGTTAGACATTTACTATTGAGTAACATGTACCTACTTGCAGATAAATTCTGCCTCTTGATGGTAGATACAATTAATTTTTAATATCCTGTTCATATATTTTTGTGTGGGATATTTCATACAAACAATTTTTGTATCATCTTACTCATGAAATTGTGAGAAGCTAAAGATGATAAAAAGAAAGATGAAAGTAAGAGATCTCGCTTGAAAATGCTTTTATTGTCTAACCATTAATTGTATGCTGTACCAAAGTATAAGCCTGTTCTTTGTCACTGCACTGAACTGCACTAAAAATTTCTATCTGGTTTTTGCCAAATTTCAAATGTATATCTTTCATTTTAAGTGTACAATTAGTTCAACTACATGTAGAACAGGCCTTATAAATCTGCTTAGACTTGATTGTTTGAACTTTCATTTAAAAGATTATTAAAAGTGATCTGTCTATATTAGAATCATGTTTAAGCAGATTTGTATATTGCAGGGTATAGATTTTTTGTGTAGTAGATAGATTGGTGCTAAATGTATATCATAAGTGTGCATGACTTTCTTTTTAGTATAAATTAAACTATTTTATGAACTAAAATTTTATATGTTGTAATCTGTGATACATATAATTCTCTTAATTAACATTTTACATAGTAATAATAATAACTTTATAAGTTTGTTATATTTTTTTTTTTACATATAGTTTTCTCCATCACTAAATAAGGCGTATATTAAAATGGAAAAAACCCTGCCATTACGTTTCTCATGGGAGCAGTGGAAATCGAATATCTTTGGAAAATTATTTTTGCGTACAAGATTAGCTTATGTATACGAACAACATAAAAACGATCCAGTAAAACGGTGCCCCAATCATGTTGCACCGACTAACTATATTAATCAAAATATGTTACCAGAAAGGATAAAACATGTAGTCCACTGTGTTAATCACGCCTCGAGTATTTACGAAGAGGAAAATGAACATCTTTCGGTTTTAACGCCACTTTGTACACCTGAGGCCGGCTCGCAATATGTGCCAATGTGCTTTAAGTTTTTTTGCAAAAATAGCTGTACATCCGGTATGAATCGTAGAGAGACTGAGCTAGTATTCACGTTAGAGGATGAAAGAAAGCAGGTTTTAGCACGTCAAACATTGGGACTTAGGATATGTAGTTGTCCCAAACGCGACAAACAAAAAGGCGAGGCAGATCTGGAACAATCAATATCTGTCAAACGAGAGCTTGCTTTAACATCAGGCAAAAAAATATCGTCCTGCGACACTCATGTTTATAAAGTCGTGCTAGATGTTGTTGGTAAAGAAAATTATTTGTCGGTGTACAAACACGCATATGATGTTATGGCCGGTCAAGCGGCGAGAACCGGTCAGCATGAAGTTTTCAAGCCGTATATGGATGAAATATCGCGTAAAGTGCCTTTGAATCATTAATGACTTTAAATTTTAAATTCTCTTTTTTTATATCACGTTTTTCATTTTACAAAAAGAAATAGATTGTAAGTTTTAATAGATTAAAAATCTTTTTGTCATAAATGTTTTGTTTATTAATTAATTTTTATTAATTAGTTTTTCATCTTATAAGTATGCATGCCATGTGATTTTTATTAATTAGTCTTTCATCTTATAAGTATGCATATCACATGATTTTACTATACGATTTAAATATTCATGTTTAATGTTTACTAACGATTAAGTATTATGAATACTATTAAGTTAATTAAGCTAATATCAATACATATTATCTCTTAAGTAAACGTCCTTACAATATACAGGGTGTCCCAAAATTGGCGCATTCGGAGTACAGAACGTTATACTTTGTGCTAAAAGGAACAACTTTTTCCTTTAGCAAATTTTGATCTGATAAGTAATTTTGGCAGGAGAGCTGGTTAAAGTTAACGAATAATCGCTCTTGTCCATGCGGCGCTCAAGCCAAGGATTAGGAACAAGGGAGGAGCGCGCGCCGGCCTTGAGCGCGGCATGAACAAGAGCGATTATTCGTTAACTTTAACCAGCTCTCCTGCCAAAATTACTTGTCAGATCAAAATTTGCTAAAGGAAAAAGTTGTTCCTTTTAGCACAAAGTATCACGTTCTGTACTCCGAATGCGCCAATTTTGGGACACCCTGTATAAAACGAGCATCTTTTATTTTAAGCGATACTTTTATTAGTTTTTTACCAACTTGTGTTACTTAGCTTTTTTAGAAATAAGTTCCTTATTATAACATATTTTTAAATACTCCGCATGTAATGTTGTTAGTATACGTTCATGAATTAAGACTTTCGGTCACCGACAAATACTTACACCTTATATCTAAGAAAATTAGCATATTATTACGATATATTGTCACGTGTTAAATTGTCTCACATCAATGAAAAATAAACACTTTTGTTACTTTTTTCATAATAGGTTTTTGATTAATCCTTTTAATATGCATTTAATATGCGTTAATTACGAATAATAAATTTGTTAAAATGTAGCAGATAGTGTCTCTCTTCACATGTACAATCTGTCGTGTGCTCCATATTCCGATATTTGTATTTCAATGGTCTTCAACAATAATGCGTTTGGCAGTAGGGCAATATGCTGCGAAGACAGTATCGCAGAATCCTCGAGGCTCGCTACGTGTCTCCGCAATTGTACTTCTGTACCATTATCATCCCAAGCATGCAATGTCCATTCCCATGTACTTGAATGTGCCATCTTGGCGGGATATGTCATCCATGCCATTTCCTCTCCGTACTGTAAAAAATATGATCTTTATATATCTGCTAGTATAGATGTTTCGCACATTTTTTTCGTCAACTATGTAAAACACAAAGTATTTTTCAAGATAATGACAACTTATATAATATTATGATTTCTTTTCAAAATATCCGGACTATTTTGTGGAGTAGGTCTCGATATCGTTGAATAATGTCAGATAAAAATAATCGAATCTCGGTTCATATCACATTATCTCGTACATTCGAATTATTCTTTATCTTATCTTGTTCCGTTTCTATACAAATTACGTCGAGAAAAAATGATTCATTTTTTTATCTAAATTTTTATATCAATTTATACGAATATTTTTAAGATTCATATTAAGATTGATAAATTGTAATTGAATGTGCTGGATAAAGATACGGAAAACTATATGTTTAGAACAATATTTAATCCCAATAAATTATTATTTAAAAAATATAAGAGATACTCTTTTTTTTATACCAACAGTATAATTGATATAAAAACTGATATAAAAATTGATATTAAAACGATTACGGAATGATACGAACTTTGAATCGAATTTTTATTATCTCTTATCGATTTTTTTGCACAGACTTCATAAAAGATTAAAATAAAGAATGAAAAATATCATTTTCACACAAATGTGAGACAAAATTGTTTCGTGTTAAAAATGTCATACCTGAAAGAAAAACATATTGTTTTCGTGGTGGAATATGTAAAAAGCGTGGCGTCCAAAAGGAAGCGGAAGCGGGATTCTTGCGTTTCCAGAATAAAAATGGACTTGTGGCACCGCGTGAGTTCTGATGTGTTCCAGCAGCGAGTCAGGCGTCACTACTTCTCTGCAAGATTGCAAAAGCGGACATGTTAGTTGTACGCAGAACACGGAATCCGTGGAGCCGCCCCAGATCGGCGTCTGGGGCAAACTCAGTGATTGCTGACTGACATTCGCCGCGGACGATTCGACAATTTGCGAAGAAGAATCGTCATTGCGAGCTTTGCTGTCCCTCGACAATTCGCCGGTACTGGCCGACTTGGTGCGATCATTCAGGGATAATCGTACGCATAAATTATTGACATTCGTCACTCCATCGGGAATCGCCGCCGTTTCTTCCGACATTTCAGATACGCGAATTAGATTGTCCACGGAAGCAGCCTTTTCTCTGCCCCCGAGCAGCAGTCTGGCTAATAAGAATTGTCTCGGTTTCAGTGTAGCACAATTGTTCTTCGATCGGTTCACAATTGGAGTCTCCTCTTGCCTCTTGCTACTTTTACCGAACAATTGATCACGTAAGTTACAACGGCTGGTCGTGACAGGCGTTTTGTTTGTCGTCTCGGCGTTATCTATATTAAAGGCATCGCGAAGTGTTCTATGCAATTTATCCGCGAGAAGACACCGGCCCTGGCCGAGCCGAACTCTGCAGATCGGACAACGTGTCGTCTTCGGCCTGCAGACAACACACAGGATGTGGCCGTGAACACACTGCGAGACTGGAGGCGCAGCGCTTTCCAAGCAAATTGGGCATTCCAAGGCATGGACCTAAAAAGAAAAAATTTTTATAATAAATAGATACAACGTCCTAGATACTTTATTCGATAAAAAAAAAGTTTTATTTTTAATTGATGTATTAAACGTTTACTATTCTTTAACGGAGAGGAAAGAGCCATGTTTATGTTACAGCTCACAGTTTAGATTAATTGTTAATTATTAGCTTCCTGGATTAATAGTAAGTGGTTAATTCTGTTGCTAATGATAGAAGATTGATAATAGGAATTAATTCCGAACTAAATCCGTGTTAAATAAATGATCTATAAGAATAAGAAAAAAAAATCAATGATCCAAAGTTTTGAGTTTTAGAAGTGCATACGCACTGTTCCTGATAATGCATTTGCAAGATTTCTGGCTACATTCGGAAGTGGACCCTTTAGGGCTAGCCCAATATCATTCTGCTCCTCTTTTTGATGCATGCATCTCCAAATGAAAAAATTTAAATCTCGCACACCTTCCTCATTACGTATTAAAGTAGCGATGTCCTTGATCTTTAGCCCTAATAAATCGGTGTCATCAATGCCTAATAAACAATCGCCCGCTCTGATGGAACATAAGAAAACAATTTATGTGAATCAAATATTAAATTGGTTTACGCCAAAAAATATATTACATTTAATTTAATATAAAATTACGTATCTCTTACGTGAATATATAATTTAAAAGAAAAAAAAAATATTTTTAAATATATATTGGAATATTTACTTTCACGATATATTCGGTAATTTTTAAGATCAGGTAAAAGCTCTCACCTCAATCCTGCTAAGTCAGCAGGACTATTATTTTCGACATAGCCGACCCATGGATACGGATCCCATTTCGATTTGGTCAAATGAAATCCGCAAGATTTACCATGCATATACGATTCCACGTTGACTTTCCGCATTTTAAGGACCATCTTTCCAGGCGGAAGTGAATTCACATCTTCTTTGGGCAGAGACGTGATGATCTTCACATCTATCGCTTCCGTTAAAACCTCAGGATGCGAGAAATGCGGCATATTCCTTCGCACTTTATTATTATTTTTGTTTTTATGATTAATATTATATATAAAAGAAATAAAAATTACTTAACAATAAAGGAATATAACGTTCGAAATATTTCGAAATTCTTTTTGTATACATATAATAAAAGATTAATTTGCAAAAAAAAATTATTCGTTAATTTTATCTGTCACTCGATACGTGTTAATTCATTTTGATCTTCGAGATACCTTGACCAAAGCAGGACTGCTGTGGAAGCACTGGATCGCGTCTGATCTCTTGGCGCGAAAGAGAAAAGTCACTTACTTGTTTACCTTCACCCATTTACACGCTCTTGACATTGAATCTTACGTCATATCACGATGAGACGTATGCCGTTTCCCTCTTACTCTAATATATCGATACGCCTTTTAAATATTTTAAATAAAAAAAAATACATTTGTTACAGCCATTATATTCATTATATTCTAATTTATATAATACGTACATATATGGCAGTCTTTGCAATACGTGGAAATAGAATATTTTAATTAAAGTTTCTTAATAATTTACAGTGGATACACATGGTATCACTTAATTTACAAAAATTAAATGATACCATATGATTGCGTTAATAATTGTATTAACGCAACTTTTATAATACATTGTTATAACGCAGACAAATGTAATATTTTTTTTTATGTACTTGACTATCATCATTTCATTATAAAAAATCAGTTTTCATGTGAAACAAACAAGTATAGGGGAATGTATTATAATTATTTTGCTTAATAAAGTCTAGATATGTACATACATGCATACTTTGTACAATATTCCAATAAAATTAATATGTGACATATATCTTACATTTTCACTTATTCGGCATTGGTACAATGGAAGATCATACACCGAGATTGTCATTAGCAGGATCAGATTCAAAAGGCAAACAAAACGACAATCGTTCTTGTATATACTGCAGAGATGAATTTACTCATACTGTTTAATTAAACCATAATACGATTGTAGGAAGATCAAATGTAGAAAAATTCTAACATAAAAAATATAGTTTTTATACATAATGTACGATCAATTTAACTAATTAACTTTTGTGTTGAAGAATCTACTATTAAAATTCAATGGAACAAGTTAAAAAAAAAACTATAGTCCACGAATGAAAATAGCAATAAGGATGTTTCAACCTTTAGCAATATGTAAAAAATAAACTAGTTTTATAAAAATTGACTAATTATTTAAAATCAATTATTTAACGATAACTTAATTACTAAAAAAATTGATATAATGGCAAGAGGTATCAATCTCGTTTGACTGTTTACGTCTGAAGCCAGCACTGGTCGTGGATAAGTACATAAATGTTCAAAATAAAATGAACATTGCGCAACAGAGAGGATAATCTTACATACTCGTAGGTATAAAAAAATCTTAATATTGATAGATAAGCGTAAAAAAAAAAATAATTTCCTACTGGTACAATATATTGAGACATTGGCTCAGTGTATGTAGAGTAGTGTGCGCCATAGCTTTGAGAACTAGGAGATCAGAGTCCAGATGCAAATCTGAGTTCTCGATGGATTGTGCCAGGGCAAGATTGTGCTTCTCCACCTTCCTCAATTGCTCCTGGCAATTGGCAAAGGCGTCCAATACCTCCAGCTTGATGACAGGATTCCTGCTGGAATTCCCAGAATGTTCTCGCGGTGGCAACGGGGGATGACTGCTGGCTATCGCCCTGGTGTACATCTCTGTAACCGCCCGTAGCTTGTCCACCCATTCCTGGCGTGCTCGCGCGTCTGTGGCCCGCAGTTTGATCATGTCACCTGAAAGGGATATCGAAAACTCAACAGTTAGATTGTGTATCAAAAACATCGCACATAACCATTAGAGAGAAATCAGCTATGAGATTTAATCCAAGTCAGATATCTACCAGTAGCAGAATTCACGGTGAACGTGTTCGAATCTTCGTCACTGGGGGCTATTACGGCGCCTGCCAAATATATCGAACACCGCGGTCTCTGATTCTTCTCGGACTCGCTGAGGAAGTAATGCAGCTCGCCAGTCTCCGGGCTCAGGATGAACCAACGGTATTGCCAGCCCTTCATGGCGTTTGTATATTTGTGCAGCAAACCCTCGTAAGGATGCCTCGTTTGCACATTCATTGTTTGTCACTCTCGCTTCTTGGAAGCCTCTTACTTGACGAACGGTAGAAATCTCGCGCGAGATATGTCATCGGAGTTGAGGGTGATATCGTGCTCAGCTGATATCCACAGAAAGGTTAGGTTGTCGTGAAAAAAAAAAAAGGTTAAAGTTCCGTCACCATGTAAATACACAGCAATTACATATTACGTATATTACATACTCTGTCGTCTCACTCGCGGCCAGTTCGGCGTTCAATCATCTCACAAACGATTTAATATTACCACTCAAGATTCCTTTATGCGGGATGACCAAGAACCAAATGACGCGAGATCACGTGCAAATCAGAATAGTATACATGATACATAAAAATATTACATAAGATTATCTTGTATCACCTTACAAAGATGCAATTCTTATTTTTAAAAAGTCGTTAATATAAAAGCGAAAAATATTTCCAGGAAAAATATGCTGTAATTAATTTCTTTTATTAAGAAAATACAAAAGTTTCTTAATTCCTAAATATTCGTAGCAAAAAAGAATATAAGGTAACGCCTTCGCAAATATAGCATAATTAACAAAAATAAAATTGTTAATTAAGAAACAAAATTTGATAATAGTAGAATAGACTGAAATTATAAAATGAAAAAAGTCAATCTTTAAAATACATAAATGAGTCATTATGTCTTAAGACTAAAAAAAAAAAGATCTTAATTTCTAAACAAGATCACATAATCCATAAAACTAAGTAAATTAAAAAACTTTTACAAAGACATGAGACCATGTTTTATGTAAGCGCGGTGCGAACGTCTGGCAACTCGACTTCATAAACTCCGTCCTCGTGGCATTTTACGATTTTGATTTGGATAATGGAATTTGATGTTAACTCATCCAATTTTTTTCGTATTGCTTCCGAATATTGTCCATTTTTGACCGGTCCCAAATCTGTAACGAGGAACAAGATAAGTTTGAATATGAAAATTATCGTATCCTTCTAACTTACACAGACAATTTTGATACTTACTGACAATTGTACACATATTCGCCAATGCTGCAGGTTCAATGAAGTCTTTGGGCATTAACCTTATATTCTGATGCTTTACTGACTCAATATTACCATAATCAATAAAGAGAATTGTAGATGTTGTGTTCGATTCCTTAGGATTGAGGCACGTTGCTCGATACCATGCCTCCTCAAACAATGCCAAACACAATTCATTGGTTCTTGGTATATAATATTCCGTTGTCTCACAATATTCTTTCAACTGCAATAAAATAAGATTGTATTATCTTATTGTATATATGGTGTGTGATCAACATTTCGTTATTTACCATTGCGGGCATCACTTCAGAGACATGGGTTACCAATTGTACATCTAAAGGAGCCAACGTGAATTGATCTCCCCGTACTTTAAACAGTACCAGTGCTTGCACTGTATCATTCACGCGTCCTAAACTTGCCACTTCGATATCCTTCATCATGTAGCAAGTATAATCTGTATAAGAAAAATAATAAATATAACTCTTGTAAAATATACAAATATATATTATAAATTATACTATGGTATAATTTATAATATATAATTGTATAATAAAATAATTGAGGTAATTAAAATACATAGAGAAAGTAATGCATTGAAATTTTAAGTGTTTCATATTATGGAGACATTGAAAGATAGACTCAAGTCGCAGCATGATGCATTTGAAGTTTTTATATAAAAAAAAATTGTGATGAGAAACAAATGCAGCATTACTTTCAACAAATATTATAATTTGTGATTAATTACCATCACTATTTGGTCTTTTCCACCCCGGGATTAACAATTCATTTATTTTGTCATTAACACATTCTCCTGCAAGCGTGGTTAAACGAACTTCCTTATCCTTAGAAGAACCCTCGAATGTACATACTAGAGGTACTTCGTTGCCTGTTAAATTGCGAAGATACATGTCAACGTCTTGGTTTGTGGGTATGTCACGAGGAACATCTTTTAAGTATACTTTTGCCACACAGCTGTGATCCTGTAAAAGCATATATAGATTTCTTAATAAAAAATAATGTATTTTATTGTCTTGACAGGCAAGCGTGTCAATCAATACCTCTTTTGGAAGGTAACCTAATGGTAGGACTTTAAGAGTTTTTATGTCAATTTCGCATATATTGCCGAAATCAACGTATATTACCCTAGCTTTATTATTCGGCATTATTTTATGTACCATAGCACGATAACTGTTGCCATCAGTGTATGGCGCAATTATAATTTGTGTCTCATTTGGAGGTTCAGTGAAATATGGTGCTGCAATCCAATAAAAAATAAAAAAATATGTATATACATAAAATATATATACACCTATTACTTATTTAATCAGTTTTACCTGTCTGTGCACAATGTGCGACAGCTTGCATAATCTTGTTATAATGTTCTATAGCATCTTCTTCTAGAGAGCGTACAAACATATGGTAATGATTTCGATAACTTGTAAGACATACCTGAAGTCATAGTTAACAAAAAAGAAATAAAATTTCAATTCACGTTGGGAATATAAATATACTAAGATATTAAACACAATGATATTTAAGATATTGCTCATTTGCTACAACAGAAATTGTGATTTTTAGTTACTTGCAGAAAAAGAAATAAAAACAGAGGAAAAAAAGAAAATACACTTTAAAAGAACATACATTTATTTCTCTATCAGTTATTATACCAAAATTACATTTCAAAATTTATATTATATTATATAGTATTTATATTATTATATTAATATTATAAATACAATTAATATTACAAGTTAATGATTCAACTTATTTAAAAACATTCCAACTTATTTTCTGAAAAATCTTTAAGTTGTGTTCGTTGAAGCAAAATGAGCAATATGTCAAACCTTAGATCCATTTTTTAATTCAGACAGAATTAAAATATTTGATGAAGATTTCCAAGACTTCACAACCGCTGGAATTATTTCAGGTTTTAAAAGATTGGAGTTATTTTCAGGAGTTACAATTATTTCGATTTTAAGACTTTCTTGTTTGTGACTCTTCTCATCCATGATTGCTCTAAAGTCATATACTTGTCCCACCTAGTAACATAGAAACAAAGAAATACAGTAAAAATCTGTATCTGTATATCTATAATACGTATCTGTATGTATACCAAATATTTAAAAGATACCTACTTGCAATAATTCGGTGGATCGATTTACTTCGCATATTACTCCAAAGGCATAAATATTCAAAAACTTTTCAGGACAAGGCAAAACTTGATCTACTAATACATTTCTTGCATCATCTATTGCAATGAAGGACAATTTCGATGATGTTTCAGGACTCGGTGAAATATATATTCTGTACCAGGTACCATTTATCTTTCCGCAAACCAAGTCTCCTGCTTTTGGTCTAAAAAATGAAATACTTTTTATCAATTTCAATATAATATATGCTTAATAATATTCAGTAAATACTTGAAAATTTGTATATCTTTATAAATTCTATACACACTTGTAATCTGCAGATGTTTTAATGTTTTCGCATTCTTCTTGCATAACTTCATAAATCTGCACACATTCATCATTATAAACTTGTGGATTCAAAGACGTGTAGTAAACGTTCTTTTGCGAAGTTTCACAAAATTCTATGAAACCGTTTATTTGTAATTCGGAAGCTGCATTTTGTTTCAACAAATCAGCCAAAGCATCCAAGACACTAGGAGGTACTTGAACTGTGGAAATATTCGTACTTTTACTTGATAATGCTTTAGAATTTTCTTGCGATACAAACTTTTTCGCTGCATTATTTGAAGCACTTTCTGTCGCATGCGAAGTTGTATCTTTTGCAGCGGACTGTTCTTCTTTTATTTCTACTATTATCGTGTTTTCAGAATCGACAGATAACATTTTAACGGAAATTTTATCTTCCTCTTGTAGATTCCTGTACTTATCACTTGTGCCCGGTGTCAAACGAATTTTTCTAGCAAGTATAGGAAAATTACTCAAATCTCCAAGATCTTTCAGCTCGGCATCTTGTTTTAGTGTCTCATCGTTACCAAAATCAATAAAGTGGACCTTAGTAGGATTCAAGGATGTTACCATAGCTCGATACCAAAGATTTTCATATACCGCACCATAAGTTTCACCAATAACCGGCGACATACTTGGTGAATTTTTTATATCTTGCAACTTTATCATTAAATTGGTACGTGCATCTTTATCTTCTAATTTAAATACCCAATATTCATTATTACCTAGCGATAGTATGACTTCCACGGTTGTAAATTTATTTTTTGACAAGTGTGTATTATAAAAATTCGCATCGTCATTCACTGAGGTGTCGTTGGAAGTACCAGTTCCTTGTCTATTAGTATTTTCTCTGTCATTATAGCTAGTAGAGCCTTTGTTATTTTCTTTGGGGAATCCGTTTCTTTGAGGATAGTTTCTATCATTATTGAAAGTTTTATCTCTTACATTGCTATTACCCGGTCTTTCTTTGAGACTAGTCTTATTTGAATCATCTTTATAATTACGATTATGATAACTTTGGTCAGTGGAGCTAGTTGCTGAAGAGCATCCGTTATTTCTTCTTGATTGGTCAGTACTCCCGTTAGTATTATTATATCTGCGAAATCGATGTTGTTGAGGAGACTCTTTAGTATTTGTATCATTTGCTACTAGTTGGTCTGCTATTTTACTTTGAGATACATTATTATTATCACGTTGACCAGATACATGTCTTCTATCTTGAGTATTATTGATAGAATTATGTGTAACTATTGTATTACTCTTATGCTCGTTGATATTTGCACTTGTATTATTCGAGCATTCTGCTTGCGACACATTAAATGTATTGGGCCGTCGCAGTTTCACATCGCTAGATTTAGCCGTTTCAACATTGGGAGTCAACGTTTTTTTAATTTTATTTACGTCTTGATTAATTTGCAAGGAGATACCATCTATTAATGCCCTGCGAAAAAAATATATAACCAAATTTTAATTTCAATTAACAAAAATAAATCGAAATTAAATAATAAATTCAACTAAGCCATTAAACAAATAACACAAGAGAGAAAAGCCTTTAACGATCGAGGCTGGATCTTGATGCACATAACTGAAAAATGTTTTTAAAATTCACACAGAATTATTAGGCATCAAAATCTAGTCTCAATCATTAAAGGTCTCTCTCTCTCTCTCTCTCTCTCTCCCTCCCTCTCATGAAATAAATATAATTTTTAATGTTTATCTACTTTTTAATGTCTTTATTAATTATCTACTAAATTAATACTTTACTACTATTTACTACTATACTTTTCTACTATTAATAGTTAATTGCAATAAAAACAATTGTATCGTCGTACGAACGGTGTTTTTAAAATAAAACGTAGCATAGTATGGGCAAGGATTTGCATGGAAAAATTTATTTTCTTTTACTGAATATATAAACGTATAAACTTAAGAGACTATATATAAATATGTAGTTTAATTATATAAATATAATTACGGAATACGGTCACACTCAGCCTGATGTTGTGGCCAATCTTCCAATTGACAAGCTCTGCTACAATAGTATGTACGACATTTGTCGCAATGTTTTGTTGTTTTCGTAGAACAAACAGAGCAGTTTTGTACTGCAGTTTTCAATTTGTCTTCGGAATATTCATATAATCCCTGTAAAATAATTGCAACAACGGAATAATACATAAAATATATACTAAATGCATAATACATAATTTTTCTTAACTGTTACATTAATTATATATTTGCATAATTTCTTACTTTATTTCTTTGTTCACATATTTTGGAAATACGTTCTCCTATATCAGGACATGGTTCTGGAAATGAATATAAGGTATACCCACGTCCAAGAGAAACATGTCTTTTTCCATCTGGCGTGACAGTTATGACACCTCTAAAATAAAAAGAAACAATGTAAAATACAATAAATTTAAACAATTGTATTTCTTTTGAATTGTATTTACCTTGTCCATAATTGATTGGTATTGCTATAAGATTCATCAACATCAAAAACATTAGCTGTATGTGAACACGAAGGTAATTCATGGTCTACACTATGTGGTACTACTATTTGTGGCATTACACGTTTGTGTGACGAATGACCCATATTCTCACTAAAATTAAATATATATGTTATAATAATATATATTATATATTTACATATGCAAAAAAATATTTTTTCTGTTATATATATATATATATATATATATATATATATATACATATATATACATAGTCTGTTCCAAAAGTAATAAGATTATTTTTTGGGGGCTTAATCAGAATTGTGGGAGTGAATCCATTGGACGGGGCCTTTGGTACAATATGTTAGGTATACAATCTGACCCTTCTCAGTTGCCTCTGAGCCTTTCTAACAGTCAATACCGTCAGCAAAGTGCGTTGTAATTTTTGTACCTCGTCACGGAAATTCAAAGACTGTGCTGTATTTTGAGTAACGTTACGATCAAATTCTGAAGACAAAGTAAATATTCCCATAAGCTATTCTCAACATCTTTAATGTGTCGGAACCAGATTTTTCCAGTTTCACGCAGAATTTGATCGCTGCTTGAGACTGCTAAATTTTCACCCGTGACAAGACAAAAATTACAACGCACT